GATTGAATAATGAATGAATGCTGAGCGTGAATGAGACAAATGTGAATAAAGATGGAAATGATTGCAATCTAGTGACCCCTTAATCCTGCTTACAAAACAAAGCTTATTCAGTTGACAATAATAGCATCGCACAATTGAATATAATGGAAGGCCGTACGAATATGATTCCAGTGAATGTCGATCACCATTTGGTTCATCTGGCTTCTCGCCTACAGAACAGCTCCAACTTTCACTTGGTTGGATCAGTACGGACTTTGACCGGTTTTCTGATCCTTGCGACTAAAGTGTTTTTGGAAAAACTTGAAAACGCTGTTTGCTGGAGATTTGGACACCACGAATGAACGTCGATGACCGGGATGTGAAGTTGAACCACGTTTGTTTGTGGTTGCCATTTTGTCCAAACGATCACGCTCTTTTTCCAGTTCCATATGTCTTGCCTCTATTTCAGTGATGATTCCCACCAACAGCTCATCCACACGATGATTCAAAGATGTGCTGATCTCGTAGAATGGACAGGAGTAGACGGCGGCCAAATTTTTTCCTTCTACAACAGAAACAACAGAAAGAAAATTGAATGAAAATAAGCATACGGGTACAGTTTAATGGTTTATTATAGTGTGCTTAAAGATCCTTTGAAATCGACATTTAAACAGAGGGTTCCTGCCTCGAACGTACCACTTTCACTTTCAGATTTTACGACCATAACCATGCACTTTGGTGCAAGGGTTTTGGCAGTATCTTGGCTACCTAGTTGGATAAAAGGGCAAAATGAAGATTAGAGCGTTCGGGACACTGAACTATATCTATCAGCGCCTCCAACCACCGGTAAGCATAATCTCAGGGTCCCCACACATCCTGGAGGCCTAGCGGCACCTATGCGCCAAGTCTCCTAGTTAGGGTTTCATACATTTAGACCAGGTCTTCGTTAGACCGCCCTAACTCCACACTCGTAAAACCGGCTACGTTGGGTGGTGAAAGTAATTTCAAAATCCAGAGTGTATCAGTGGTTTGCATGATAAAAGCTTGCCGCGCCGTCACAGTGCTTCCAAAAATCGCCTGGATGTCATCTTTATTCCATAACCAACTGTCCGATGCCAACCGCTAAATGATTCCTCTGATAAATTGTGTTTTGCTCGTCACGGATGGCTCTCACTTTCATACCAATGCCACATCAATCTCGACTGCATAGTCGGTACGGTTGCCTTCAAACCGCTCAGCATTTCTACTACCAATGAATTGTTGAAGTACATGTTTGGGCTAGACAGAGATCCTTCGTTGATTTATGGCTATATGTGAAGCTAAAACCAAACGATTTGTTATTTCGTTACAACTGATACCCTACATTTTACACAGTTTTATCGGAAACTTTGGTCTTTTCAAATCGAACAGTACTATAACCATTGCAGATTCAGTGTTTGGTCATAACGTAAGGTTAATCAAGCTGTGAGCGCAAAGTTCATTCGATGTGTGTTTATGTGCAAATTAGGAATTCCCTACACAGACCACGAGTGAATCACCTTGCCAGTCTGTATCAGGGACTTGTATAAAACAAATTCACGTTGGAATGGCGTTTAAGCAGGTCAGTGATATTGCACTTTAGCGATCGAGGTTGTTAAAGATGAATGTTAAAGATGACTGTTTATCCTTAAAATATCAGGAAGCAAGTACTAGTTTGGGGGATGCACACATTGATAAGGAAAATATAAGCTGGAAACGATTGATGTTGGGTAAGTCCACTTTGTGCATTCATACAAACGCGAGGCTTTGACAGATTCCTTGAATTTATATGCAAATCAAATCGCTTGTGTTCCTGATACGCCGGGACGTTCTTTCAACCTATCCATGTTGCGGAACATAAGATCGAATTCGAAATACGACTGGATTTGAAACACTTCTATCCAGTTGATCAGTCATTGTTAGTCATTCGATAGAAAAATTAGACCAGATAAAACGGAGCAGTTCAAATCGATTAAAATAAGTCAGAACATGTTTGAAATCGGAACTATTAAGCAAACTGATATGTTCCAAACAAGCATAACAGGTAAATATTACTCAAAAACATTTCACCATAATGTTTTTCCACAAGCTGAAGAAATCTGCCAAATTCCACGTTTGGATCTAATGTTAATATTGCAATCGTTTTGCAACGGATGAAAAAGATATGTTTGTTTCTTGTGGTATCCGCGTTTCAACCATGCATCATTGTGGTTCCGAAAAACCGGACTATTCTGTTTTCAATGTTCTCATCAGTGCTTATAACGATCTCTGTTCCCACTATTCTCGAAAGTTTGCGGTTGGAGTCCTGACAGAGATACACTGCTGACGAGCCCCAAACAAGAGGAATCAGCTGTCCAGTGCGAATTGTTGGCATCCACATATAATTCAATCGTTTTCAAATGGATTCAATTAGTGGACAGTTACCAATTTCTCAAAGAATGAAACCCCCAGCTTAGAAGATCAATAGTTTTTGGTTCTTGTGAGCATTCGAAAGTACTGATCCAAATTTGATACTCCAAATACTCACCATTTCCCCTTTATTCTTGGTTTAGTAAAAAATCAATATTCTTCATCAAATGTGTAGGTGAAGTGTGCATTTATGGCTTCATCTGATTGGTCACATAGAGGAAAATTCATAATGCGATTGTGCACGAAATGCGGCAAATTAACTTTGTGGTGGATTGCGGGCAACCAATTCAAAAAGGTCAAACTACCCATTTGGCCTCCTTACGGGACACGAATAGTAGGGTTTATGCAGTGTTAAGTAAACAGCAAATACGTAGATGATATATAAATGTCAGGGCAGTTATCCAGCTGTCATCAATTGTGGTAATTATATTACAAATATCCCACACGATTGATATCGCTGCCACCTAAGCATATATAATACGGACCAACAAAATATATCGAAAATTTTATAGTTGACTCGGCTAGTCGAGTTTGCGGAGAGTGCCGCATGGCTTGAGGTGACCCGCGTTAATTTTAGTGCAGGATTAGTGTGGAGTCAGGGACACCCTGTGATACGTAATGGATGAATAATGCTTCACCGTCAATTTTCATTTGTGCATTGTCAACGCTTTATAGGAAAGCTTCAGACGATCTGAAAGCCAGTTCAAACAAGTGGAAATTATTGTAGGGAAAACAAACGGAGTTCGAAATTTCTAACTGAAATAGTTAAAATCTTTCAAAAGCACACACTTTCTGGTTCTCGCTATCGTTCTATACTGATAGGTGTTTATCTTTACCTGAATTACTTAGTAAGATCAGTAAGTAAACAACAGATTTTTATCCGAATACGAGTGAGTAAATTCATGTTAGCAAGAGAGCTTTTAAACAAACGGCTTTCTTGCGTAAATGGCAACATCAAACATTAAGTGTAACTGAAATCGGGATGGAGATTAGGATCTAACTATCTGGTGTGTGATTCAGCAAAGACAAACATCAATTTTCATTGTTTGTCATAAAAATAGAAAAGGCATAGTTCTGAGATAATTAGTCTGTGTGCCTTATGCTCAAACTACTTGCGTAGCATATACCCCTATATCGAACTCAGGTCCCACCAAAATTAGGGCATGTCTTCACTACTCCCGTTGTTGTGGCCACATTCGAATATTACTCATAACAGTATTTCATCGTGAACATAGTAAAGCGAATGTAAACTTAATATTCTTAAGGTCACAGCTCTGAATTCTGGAGTCGAGATCAGTAAATTCGATGCTCTCACCAGGTCTGTAAACGCAGATTGCTCAGATCATACAGAGGCATATTGGAAGAGGTTTTTCAGCTGCTCCCTGACTGAGGAATGCGACAGGGGCGCGGTTCCCACACAGACTCTTATGTGAGTCGTCCCCAGTTGGGTAGATGGATTTGCTTTGCAAACAAACCGCATAGGGTTGAAACAGTTGTTTACTATTTTCGCATGTTTCCATTCCTGTTTTCTTTACTTTGAACAAGACAACATGAAATCTGTGATTGAACGAAATCATCCGCTACTCTCCCAATTAAGGAATACAGCTGTCCGATGAGGTAATAACTTCCGTAATAAATATGCCAGATGCACAAAATCTCCACACCTCAAAGGTAGGTAAATGGAATTGGATTTTCCAAGAAAGTTGATTTAGCAGGCCTTTCTCGATTGCCAGTTGTTAAAGCCTAAAACTCCCTAAGTGTTTCAAGTAGAGCCGACGGATTTTACTTACACGTAAAATGGACGGCAAGATAGATCTACATCAGCTGTGAGCGGCAGCCATAGTTGAATACTGGGAACTGTGGTTGTGGTTCGCTTCTATGAATTCGAACTATTTTGCTTTAAATTTTTATTCATAAGAAAGCATAAGCCACCGATTGTCCCGATTCTTTCACATATGAAGCGATGAACTAAGTAAAGGGGTCAGTAGAACCTGTTGACAGTTCGATCGCATGGCTCATGGAACTGAATTGATTTTTATTTACTGCATCTTTTCAGCTTACCTTACTTATTCGGAACCTACACAAGTTAGTGCAATTCTATATATTGCCATAAGCCGTGAGAAAACATTCGCTGTTTTCAATTTTGTTTTATTTTGCAATCATAAGTACACTGATTTTGAATCTGAAATTTCTGAATCCGGAAATTAACTTTTCGGCAAACTATGAGACAGTTCAGCTTGTGTTGAACGGGCTTCGAACTACGAGGAGTGCCGAAAATTAAATATGTACAATTTACGTTCATTTTTCTTCCCGTAAAAACGGTAAAATCACTGAGCTAATCCGAGTAAGCTTTTGACGAATTGATCTTGAGCATTCATACGAATTCGCTCCTTCAGTACGATAATTAACACACGATAAAAAAATTTTGTTTACGTAGTATTTCTTTCTTGCCCTGAACGTGTTGGATTTACTGAACCAGTTTTCAGTGAGAGGAATTTCTATGTACGGTGTATAGACCAAATGCATAGAACGTGCATACCATTTTTATCACCTGATGTAATTAAAATATAAAAGTTGCTCAATCCGTTGTGGGACGTTTCTACACACGAATGTAACTAAATCACGAATGCACAAGTTTTAGATACAGTGCTTGTGTATGCTAAGCGATCACCGTTTTTCCAAGTATATTAACAAAGGTACTCGGTATTGAACAACTGTCATTTGCGTAATAAATAGTTCTGAATACATTATGGTCAGTCGTTCGCTAAGAGGTGAGCAATTTTTACGATGAGAAATATTGATTCCCGGCAAAACAAACGAGATTTCTGCTACCACTGGCCCGCGGACAAGCGTAAGCAGGCCCACAAGACCCCGGGGTTTTCAAGAGGGGGGGGGGAGGAGGGGTTGTAATCCGACGCGTACTCATATGATTCCATGTACTGAAATCCATTG